AGAAAGCATCACGGAGCAAAGAAGATGTTAATCAAGTCGAGAAGGATCAATACGGCTGACATGGTGAAGTTAGGAGGCATGGAAAGGAAAAGGCATTGTAAGCAGAGATCCTGGAGGTGTAAGAAAACATGGGAAGGCCAAGTGGCAGGGCATGTGAATGACACTGGAAGGGAAGTCTAGGATCTAGTCCTAAAGGGGCAGTGCATCATGCTAAGAAACTGGGACTTCATCCTTTCCACAGTTCTGAAATTCTGCCTCTTAGATTTAGAGATTGACAATTATAATAATTAAAATGATATAATAGCTAATATTTATCAGACAGTTATTACATGCCAGAAATCATTTTAAGTATTTCAAATGTATGTTCATTATTTGGCTCCCAATATTAATATTGAATTATCAAAGAACCCTATGGTGAACTTATTGTCATCCTAATTGTATTTATTTAATGATTATTATTATTAGCAGTAGCAGTAGTAGTAGCGTTTTTGAGACAGGGTCTCATTCTGTCACCCAGGCTGGAGTGCAGTATCCCAATCACAGCTCATTGCAGGTTCAACCTCCCAGGCTCAGGTGGTCGGCTTCCCAGGTAGTGTGACTACAGGTGCACGCCACTATACCTGGATGATTTTTTATATTTTTTGTAGTGATGAGGCTTTGCCATGTTACCCATGCTGGTCTGGAACTCCCAGGCCTCCCAAATTGCTGGGATTACAGGCATGAACCACCATACCCAGCCTCATTCTATTTTTACATGTAAAGAAACAGGCTCAGAGAGGTTCCTCTGGGATGAAAGTTGAAGAAGAAATGAGGGGACCATTTTTACATAGCAGGTCTGGTGGTGAGGACGTATTTCAACCAAGTGTTCCATTGCTAATAAAAACATACTGTCTGAGAGGACAGGGAAACACTGATTGCCAGTTAACGGAAACTGTAAGAACTAGAGGAAGTCCTGGCTTTTCACACTTAGTGTACTTTCCTCATCCCCTTGTTAGAGGGATATAAAGAAGAAGTGAAAGGGGAGGAAATTAAACAAGGAACGGTTGACATTTCATTAGGCCCTTTCTGGAGTCCTTTTGCTATTCCTCTCCTCTGCTTCTCTCCTCCAACATGAGTTATTAGCAAACCTCGGGCAGTGTTTCACAGGTGTTTTCACATTTCATCTTCACAATATGGTGCACAGCCTGCTCATCACCCCAATTCACAAATGAGGAAACTGATGCTTAGAGTATGTGAATATGATTATTTCCTGTAATACTGACTGTAGCCTTCCCCTCCATCCAATCTCCTTCTTTTTTGATCCTTTCTGTTCTCGGCCATCCTCATCTAGGTAACAGTGCTGTGCCACAAACCTGTGAATTTTCTCCACAGAAATTATATAGGCATACTATATTTTACTTACTGTGTGTTGATGTATATTGGTTGTACATATTTTGGGGGTACATGTAATATTGTGATACCTCTACACTACATGTAATGATCAAATTAAGGTAATTGGAATATCACATCAAATATTTATTTTCTCTTTATGTTTGGAATATTATAAATCTAGTTATTTTAAAATATAAAATAAATTATTGTTAGCTATAATTTCCCTACTGTACTATCGAATACTAGAACTTCTAACTGTATTTTGTACCCCTTAAGCAACTTCTCATCTCCTTCTCTCCACTACCTTTCTCAGCCTCTGGTAACCACCTTTCAACTTTTTGCCTCCATGAGATCCACTCTTTCATATTCTACTCACTGATCTTATTTATTATCTCTCTCACTCCCTATAAAACTCCATGATATTTTGGGGGATGAGAGGTCTGGTATTTTCTCAGCTACATCCCTATGTCTTGAAAATTCTTGAAAGACAGTAGATATTCAATAAATAATTTCTGAATTAATAGGTAATAAATACTCATGAATGCTTTTCTTTAGTTCCTGAAGTTTTAATGCATGCCATATGTTTGTTTTAAATTCTATTTCTTCAATAAGGTACATGAAGAACTATCCTTTTATAATTCTGATCTGAAGAACTTAAAAGGTGCTAAATTATAAGATGTATTACAAAGCCTTTATTTCGAATTGACCAAGCTTTTTAACAAAAGTCAGACTTGCTTAAAATAAATATTTATCTGGGATTCAAGTTCACCCCTTAGAATAGGTCAACACTTTGAGAGGGGTTATTTTTTTGCAAAATGAAAATTAAAGATTAAATATTTCTTGTGGCAAATTTTGAATTTTATTTCCATACCCTGATTCCCAATGACTTAGCACTATAATTGAGATATTATACAGATTTTCTCAATAACTTCAGAGTAAATTTATATGTGATCAAAAGATCTTTCTGATGTGAAAATACATTTAATAACCTTTACTAATTATTAACCAAAACTAAAGGCAGATTTTGCAAATACGAACTTGTCATTTCACCATGACTGTTATCTTGTCAATGGAAAAGATGAAGTTCAGCAAAGAACAAATCTACAATTTGGCCAGAAGACTGTAGACTTTGCCTTTAAAGGGCCTTAAGACATACATAAATAATCCCAGCAGATCCAATCCGCAGCCTCCCTGCTTTTGTAGGTTAATTCAGCACAGTGGGAGAGTTTGAGAGTGTCATTGCAAAAAGACAATTTTAGTAACCTTTGGGAAAAGAGCAAGAGTTAAATTTTATCTTCAAGACTAGTTTCCTTTGTAAGGCTTCAAGTCTTTGCCTTTTGCAAAGTACAGGCACTGAAGCTGGCATATTAACTTACTAAGTTAACAGAGTCCCCATAAAACATGATGCCCTAAAGCGAGGCAGAGGATAGAGCTGGCAAACAGAGAGCATTAACTGTATGCTTCTTGAAACAATCAGTGAATGCAAACTTAATTGGCCTGGGTCAGCAGCAAGCAAGAACCATCAGAAAGGTGAAGGCAAGAATGTCCATGTTTATATGCAGAGAATGACATTGTTCTGGCCCTAAAAACAGGTAACTCTCTATCATCTCATTTTTTTCTTTTAATTTTCTAAATTATACTGAAAAAATACTTTCTTTCTCTCTTTTTTTTTTTTTTCTGAGACAGTCTCACGTTGCCCAGGCTGTAGTGCAATGGCATGATCTTGACTTACTGCAACCTCCACCTCCCAAGTTCAAGTGATTCTCATGCTTCAGCTTCCCAAGTAGCTGGGATTACAGGAATGCACTACCACTCCTGGCTAATTTTTGCATTTTTAATAGAGACAGGGTTTCACTATGTTGGCCAGGCTGGTCTCGAACTCCTGACCTCAGATGATCTGCCTACCTTGGCCTCCCAAAGTGCTGGGATTACAGGCATGAGGCACTGTACCTAGCCAAAATATTACTTTCTAAATGATGCTTATCTATTAGTTTGGGACATTCTTTAATTCTACTACTTCAGTAGTAGAATCCCTATGTCTATTACTAATAGTCGTACTATTAGTATTACTATAGTAGCACTAATTATAATAGTAGTAATAGTAATAATTACCTGTAATTAAAATAATACTATAACAATGGTGGTAGCAATAGTAATACTAATAGTATTAGTAATATACAATTACTATAGTAGAATTTCCATTATTACAACTATTAGTAACACCAGCATTGGCATTATTAATAGTGCTACAATTAGTAATACTAACACTATTAGTAATATTAGTACTAATATTAGTGCTATTAGTAATAGTGGTACTATTAATACTAATGTTTGTAGATAGTCCTAATAATATTGCTATTGTTACTGATAGTAATATTCTATTACTATTCTATTATTCAAGTAATGATAATTTTTGTACTAGAATACCTTAAAGCTGCATTTTTCAGAAATGACCACTTCCGCTTCACTTTTTTCTTTCACCCAATTTTTCACTCAGTTTCTTATATTATTAATGGTGCCTTCATCCTCAGTCTTTAAAGGACAATGAAAAGCAGTACAGGAATTCTCAATGAATAAGTCAGAAAATTTTCAAAAGTACCTATATTCAAATACATTCTAGTTGCATTCGAGTCAGATCATTGTAAAACATATTTCCTCTGTCCTGGTTGACAGAGCACATTAAACACAATGAAAATCCAGCATAGAACCTTCCCTGAGCCACTAATACTATAATTAGTGTGGCAGCCTTCACCTCTGTATATGTGGGAACCTCCCAGGCCTCACACCCCCAACAGCATAGAACCTTCAAAATGGATATTATCCTGTTCTGGAAACCTGTGGATGTGGGCAATTACCCATTTAAAATGTAATTCAAATCATGTTTCCAAAATAGAAAATACAGACAATGAAATGCTGAAATTATATATTCATATCTGTATACGCAAACATGAACATATGTAAACTTTCATCATTTTTTAGAATTTACAGACTTTTTCATGTACTCTACTGAGCATGTCTGTGGCATGTGATCTGGATGTTAGCAGACCCTTCCCACAACAACGCAAAAGCATCCATTGTTCTTGCTTTGTTAAAATCAATGTCACATTTTTATTACATAGTTTGCATGATCACTTCTGTATATATGATACTGGAACATTTTGTTCTAGAATTTTATCTTTGAAGAATAAGTAGATAATTGTCTCTGCTGACACATAAAATACAGCTCAATCTTTGAGAATTCTGATGCCTTATCTTAGTGGTTAGAATTAATCATGGTACCCTCTTCCCACATCTTTAAAGACCATCCTTCATATTCTTTTAATAGATGGGAGCTGATCTGTTTTGGGGCATTTGGTGACATCCTGAGATAAGTGGATTCAGAATTACTAATCTGCATTATAATTGGAGAATGAGTATTATTGTTTTGTTTCTAAATTTCAACAAATATTGCACGTTTTTAAAAGTTTTTAAGAGTACATTTACTGAGCCTTATTTGTATATAATTCTTAGTTGCTCTGACTTTAATGACTCCTTTACAGACAATATTTCTTAAAGATGTCCTTCATGAAAAGGAGAAGTTTGGACTTGGCAACAGTAATTTACTTAATTTATCTTAAATTTGGTTTCAGTGAGCAACCCTAATTAACCTGATTTTTTGCTGATAATCACTCTCAATGGAATCAAATCACAAATCCGGGGATGGATTGAGCGGCACCCAGAAGGAAGCAGCCCTACGTGCACTGGTCCAGCGCACAGGATATAGCTTGGTCCAGGTAGGAACTTCTTGTGAAATCTGCTGAGACTCACCACTGAATTTGCACAGTAGTGGGAATATTAGTGGTGCTAAAAGGCAAAATGGGAATGGTCAGTTACATAGCTCTTTAGGAAATGTCCCTTTCTAAAAGAGAAGGGAATTGCAACATTTCAGTTTTGTAGATGACCCTGAATGTAACCTTCTTTCTACTCTAGGTTATTAATTCAACCTTAACTTGTCACAGAATCAGTGTCCACAATTATAGAGACTATCACAAAAAGGCAGCTAGAATTTGCCACTCAAGGCTGTGAAGTAGAATCACATTGGTGTTTCAAGAATCAGCAGAAAGTAAACTACAGCAGCAACCAGACTTAGTTTCCAGAGAGATCACTGCAGATGTAAAACTTCTAGATGTGGGATCCAAGGAATGAACATTTTGTGTCTAGCTGCTGCAGTTTGTTTTCTCAGAACATCTACTCCAGTCTAGGATATGTAATACTAACTTCTGTCAGTGTTTAGCATTTTTTAAAAGAAAAAAAAAGACACCACAATAAAACTATCTATTCATAGATGTTGTCTTTTAGAAATTATCTGTATATTACTATTATCTTTATGATATCTTCCTTTAGAGAACTTATGCTGCTTTAAAAAGCAAACTATGTAGTGTTAGATACATATATTATCTTATTTAAAGAAAAAATGTTGGTCTTTTTACAGTACAGCAAAGTATTTTAATTTCTATTAAGTTTCTATTATTTCATAGTTGACTTTTTGAAGTTTCATTTAAGTCACTGAGATACTGATGTATTAGTTTTCTTAATACTTAAAAGTCAAATTATTTTAGGCTCATTAATAAACTTCTGAAAAGAGGGTTTTCTTTCTTTTTGCAATCAACACTTCCCATAAATGTTATAACATCAAGAATGTTTTTGAATCTTTTTTTATTTTGAACTTCTTGATATTAGAAACATTTGTGCAAAGATGGTGAAATAGACAGCATTTCAATCCTTTCAAACAGCAATCTGTTAATATTTATACATAAGAGTGTTCCCTTTCTGGTACTGTATTTCTAAGAACCCATAATATAAGATAGAAATATGCATAAACCTGTCTAGAGTGACATTAGCCAGAATGCATGTCATAAACCTAAATATATAAATATAAGAAAATTATTAAGTAAACTATCAATGTATAATTATTATACTCAACAAGCAGAATTTATAAAAAATAATATTAAAATAATATTAATTGCCAATTATATTTAATTCAACTCTGGGTACTTGTTCTTCCTTTTCCCCCAGATGAAATTCAGGTCAAGTCTCGTAACTTTTCTGGTAACGTTCAGGTAATAAAAGATCCTTCATTAAAAAATTGATATTTTTTCATATTGATATTATTCCATAGTAGATACAGTTTAGAATAAATGTAAAGACATAAAATCACTCAAAGTTATAGTTATTTCCCCTTCCCCAAGTATGTCAAGGTGGAGAATTACTTGTTTTCTGTTTTTCTGAGCTATGTTTTCCTCTTCCGACACCAGTTTGGTAACAATAATTTCTGACTCCTGACTGAAGCAGAAGGGAAAAATTAAGCAGAGGAATGGGGAAAGGAAAGTTTTTACTGAGCTACCTTCATTGGGCTCTGGGGCCTGACAGGTATCTAAAACTTGTGCAATTCTTTGTAGGATCCTCAGACACCCAGCCTCCTGCTGGGTTCTCTTTGATATCTGAATCTGCCCTCATGGACAGGATGGGAGATAATCATTAATTCCTACATGTGGCCAAACTCTAGTCCCCTGGAAACACACATTCCCTGACCCAGCAAAATCTGGAAGTTGAGGTTACACAAAGCAACCACTTCTCCTTGCCAACAACGAGGCTGTTGTTCACATTGAGAGATTTCAGGAGTGAGTTAGACCCACCAGCTAGCATGTTTCCCAAACACAAAGGCAGGGAATACACATCAAGCTGTCTAGGTGGTTTCTCTGCTACTCCTCTCTCCTGCTTGAGGCAAAATAATAGGCAACTCCCAATTCCTCCCATTTAGGGGGAACTAAAACTCACAACACAACAGTAGTTGCCTCCAAATATCTGCGTAAATTTCAAAAACTTCCCTCAAACTCTCCAATCTCTTTTCTGAGTTTGGAATGTTGAGTGAGAGTTAACAATACAAAAATAGTTTCCTGCTACCTTCTCATACTGCTTGGTACTCTAGTCACTTGGTTTCATACCAAAACCAGAGGCCAGAGTTAATGATAATTTATTACATATTTCAAAATAGCTAGAAAAGAAGATCTGAAATGTTCCCGACACAAATAATTGAGGTGAGAGATACCCTAATCACCCTGATTTGATCATTACATATTGTATGCATGTATTAAAATATCATATATGGACTCCATAAATATGTACAGTTATTATGCATCAATCTTAAAAGTCCAATTCCATTTTAAATTCCTGTTGCAGATGAAATAATATTCAGTTACCAGCAGTAATCACATAAAAAATTCTGAAGGACAATTGTAGCATTATTGTTAGAGCTATGTAGACACTTTGCAAATAATTTTTTTGAAGAGACCCAAATAACAATGGAGATAATCTTACTTCATTTTAAAATTTTACTCCATTGTAAGGTCTAATGTTATGATTTAAGAACATTTATCTGATAGAGAAAAAAATATGTATAATTTAAAATGTTTTCATATAACCTATTCCTAAAAAAATATGGCCAATCTTCATATAACCTTGATCTTACATATTCAATAATATTCAGGAAATGTTTATAGTAATGACTTAGACCACAATTTAATTGTAATAATAACAAAACTATTCTAACTGCTTTGTGTATATTAATTAATCTAGTCCTTACTATACACTGTGTGGTAGCTACTATGTTTGTCCCCAATTTCCTGTTGAAGAAAACAAGGCACAAATAGTTTAGATAACTTGTGAGATTGATAGGCTAAGATTCTGTTGTTATTGGCCAAATTTTTTGGCTAGATTCAGAAAACTAAGAGTTGTTATAATGAGACTTTTAAGATTGCAATTTTAGAGAGCAGCATGCTAGAGCATGCAAAAAACATTTTGTTTGAAACTAAACTTTGTAACATGATTCACTTTAAGTAATATTGGTTAGCAGCGTGAATGTTGAATCAGAAGATCTTCAATAATGTGGAAGCCTAATATTCTAAACGCTAGTTATCCATACCTAAGGCTTCTAATCATAAAGTAAATACCTATATAACTCAATCATTTGGAATGAATTGAAGAATCCCTCCTGATTTTTGCTACAGAGGGTGAAAATTACATAAGACTTTAAATCAGAAGGCCTATAATCTAATCTAGTCCCAACCACATATGAGTTGTGTGATCTTAAATAAGTCCCTTAACAACTCCAGGCCATAATCTCCTGGAAGATCAGCTTGGCAATACCCAACTATTTGCCCATGATTTTTGTGATTCTAGTATCTTCTAAATCTAGTAACTGGTCAGCACACTGGACTATTTGGTCGAAAGGGTGGACCAGGCATGTGTAGAAACACAACTTCAAACTTTTCCTAAGTTAGGAAAAATCCTTTAGTCTTACTAATACTTCAGTCTTCCTACTCTGGATTATACAAAAAGAAAGAAAGACAACATTAAGAACATCAGGTTCACTTTTTTTTTTAAGTTTTTGTACAAAAGTTAAGATAAAGAAACATCTTAATACAATCCAAGGAGCATACCCGTAAAATGGTAGTTTAGAATTTTATGAACTAGAGTTTGAAGGCTTTACTTTTGCTATATCTTTACAGTCTCTAATACTGAATGTTGAATATTTGCAAAACAAGAATTCAAAAACAGAGAGTGATAAATTTGTGCTCTCTTATCACTAGCAGGACAAATACAGATATCAAAAATAGAATTATGTGAGTTACTTAATAACGTGAGCCAGCCTTTTATGTAGCAACTGATGCAACAATGCCTGCTTCTAAGGATTTGGAAATATGCTTTGTGACTTTTAAAAAACTAAATAAATGTCTTTGGATATTGACAGCTGAACTGTTTGTCGAAGTATTTTAGAGAATAAAGAGACGTAATGCAATACCCCACATATAGTAGGTATTCAATACATACTATTGATAAAAATTGTATAATGCTACTAAGTTAAACTTTAAGCTTCATAATTGCATTAAGCCTTATAAAAATATTTTGGAAGGACATGTGCTACATTTTTAACATGGGGACAGTCTTTGCCTCTGGGTAATGGAATTATATGTGGGGATTTTTTTCCCTACTTTTTTATTCTTAACTGTACTTCCAGATTTCTAAAGGTAGCATATATTTCTTTGATAGCTAAAGACAAAAACAAATTACATTATGATGAACCTTTCCTCAAGAATGCATTAATGATGTGGGTCATAAACTGTGATATGTGATGCTCCTCCCACCTGGAATTTTCTCCTTAGAACTAGAAAAATACATTCTCATAGGTAAGCATATTCAGAAAAGTATACACTTCCACCCAATGTGGTGTCTGGTGACATCAAGTTTAATTCTATTGTAACTAAACCTAAATGTATATTTAATAAAAATCACCCTCAAGTAGTCTGAATATTTTTAAAAATAGACACAGACTTAAAAATATATTGAAAAATATGTATTTTAAAAAATATATATATATTTAAATATAATCAGTTAAAATGTGGTATGTATTAGCATTGTTTAGTTATCCTATTGGTAGTCTATTTTCCAAAAATCATTACAGCACAATCAATTTTTATAAGGTATGATAGTCCCCTTGCTTTCTTAAACCAATGCTCATCCTAAATAGGCATCAAGGTTTTCTTTTTTGTTGTTGTTTTGGGGAGTGTTTTTTGTTTGTTTGTTTTTGTTTTGTTGTTGTTGTTGTTTTGGTTTTGTTCTTGTTTTGCTTCCTAATCCTTATTATTGAGAAAAATGTGTTAGTGCTGAGTCTTGGGATTAGAGAATATAAAAATGCAGTGCCTGATCTAAAGTTCATATAACATGGGTGAAATGA